CTTCAAACAAAACTTCTTTATTCTCTATATGAAGATTATTTAAGTACAACGGGGAGTGCATTTATCTCCAATCGTACCGCGCTCATTTTTGAATGGATGGCGTGTATATACGCCTACGTTATTCAGACAGATTTTGAAGTACAGATTTTTTGAATAATGTATCTGTAACCGTTTTTAAGATATACCCATATTACATGTTCAGAAATTTTGAGGTATCCACGCGGAACTTTAAAAGTTTATATACCCTATGTAACTTTCAGGACATGCCCCGACATACAGTGTAAATCTCATTAAGATATGTTCAGCGGTTTTGGCGTCTATCAGTAACATACAAACGATTAAAAAAATGTTGTCTATCTATATATATATATAGAATGGTGATCATTCCATTCCAATACGATAAACTTTTTTAATATAGGAAAAAAATATAAAAATTTCTATTGTAATCAAAGTTACATAATGTATGATATACTATCAGTACATTTTTCTATTATTCCGACACTGTGTCCCCCAAAGGATCTAGTTGAGCTGTACTTAACTACACACAGTCATGTCCCCCGATGGGAGAGGTTGACCAAGTCCACCCTTGTACAAGATATATAAATTGTTTCAATCAAGAAGTCTCACACTATGTTATCCGCATAGTTTTTGATAAATTTCCGAATAAAATTCAGATTATTCGATTAAAAAAATTAATTGTCCGTGATCCATTCGCTCTTCATCTGGACATAGCCTGTTGCAATGCGGAGTGCATTATTTTGTGTTGTTTGCAAGGATTTTCATTGTATGTCGCTAAGGAAAGAAGTCCAGACTGCGGCAGCATAATTAAGGATGGAACGACTCATTCTCTTGTATGTCGTTACCAACATTTCTTTATCCTTGCCCCAGGAGGTGCCAGACATAACTTTCAGAACGTTATTCCCAGCTTTCACCTTCTGGTTGACATAGTTAGAATGCGAGGAGAAATGACTAAATGCGAACTAAACTGACTCCCGCATCCAGGAAGTGAAAAGAGATTTTGCAGTGTATATTTTTAGATTGTGCTCCCGGAAGAAATTTGTGATGGCGACTAAATATCAGGAATTACGAACTGTAACATCGATAACTCAAGAACTTTGGTCAGATAATCCAGCCCTATTATACCAAGCTTCTTTTACATGGACATGTATATGCCGTCTGGACCAAGGGCTTTGGATAGCTTGGATTTGGAGATAATTGCCTCTATCTCGCTGACCGTAAATGATAGACGCCGCAAGTCTCTTTTAAGATTCTTGGATCTCAGGATAACTGCTCGCTTTATCCTGTTCTGTGAAGATGGATGCTCAATAAATTGACGGCAGAACTGCAATGCACGTTTTTTGGCAGAATTTGAATGTTATTGAAGTATATAGCAGGTAGATTTTTATTTCTTTTAGAACCAGATAGACTCTTAATAGTAGACCATAGCTGCATGAAATTTATACTGCAGTGGTGAAGCGCCTATGATCAAGGACTAGATCATCTATTTCAGCGCTTAGCTGCGGGATTCGATCGACAGTGAGGCTTTCGGCACGAAGTTGGTTGCGCTAATGTGCCAATCTGGACAGATAGTTTGTCTCATTAGATGAATTCTACCCGCTGGAATGAAGCGTTTTGCGCTTTCAGAATAGTTTCACGGAATAACTTATCATCATTTCAGGCGCATGCGGGTGGCGGCATAGGACTTAAGTAGTCCTCAATGAATTTTGTGAAGCCGCGCCAGTTGGCTTTATTACAATTCATGAAAGTACGCTTATCTGGCTCCACGAAATCGCAGGATTTCACTAATGTGTCCAGGATGGGAATATGGTCCGAATTTAAAAAGACCTTGATTTGTCAGGAAGTATGTGGAAGGAGCGGTGGACTGACTATGGAAATGTGCGGAGAGATGGAACACCTGATGCGAAATCTGACTCTTCTATCTTGTTTGTAATAAGAATACCGAGGATCATTTGGATATTGGGAAAACCATACCTCATGATGAACGTTGAAATCGCCAAGAACTATTTTATTATCTCCCTGCAGCAGACGGATGAAAGCTGGCCCCAATTTTTTGACGGGCGGAATATATACATAGACAATTTCAATTTCAGAATCGGAATGGACTGAAATCCTCAAAAACTAAAGGAATGGTTTAGAATGGGAAGGAGACGAAGGGGAAGTATGGGTGTATCTGACATCTCGCTGGATGATGAATGCTGTCTCGCCAAATGATGTTGTAATTACCGGAGGAGGATAAGGAACAACTGCTAGTCAGATTTGTTTTATGCAAGGCAGCAATGAGGATGTTGTTTTCATGCATGAAGTTTGAGATCTCAATTACCTTATGTGCGGAGTGCTAGCCGTAGAAATGAAGAGAATCTAGTAGAAGGACTAACTTAACTATCAGCATGAACACTATTAGTAGTACTACTGTATGGAGAACTAGACGGAGTGCTAGCCGAGCAAAGCTGCCGACATGATTGCTCACCTGTAGGAAAAACATTCGTTTTGTACAACTGTCGCTGAGTTGACAATCCCTGGTCGAATCGAATTCGAGTCGTTCCGGATCGTAGATCCGATGAATCCATGAGACAATTTTTCTGTGAAGGTTTGAAATCTACCGTGTCATAGCCTCTTAACATGCCAAGGACTTATAGTAAAACCAGAAAAACTTGTTGATATGCTCAGGTATAAATAAATGCAGTCAGTACCCTGGTGTGCACAATGTCGTCTAACGCCCCAGTGTCAACGAATGTCATTTGCGGTTTCCAATAACCGCAACCTCCGTAGGCGGCTTTAGACCCAATATAAGAATTATGTTATTATGTAATGTATTTTATGTATTTCCTAAATAGTGTAATTTATGGATCCCATCAAAATCCCACCAAAAATAATTAATCAAAATATTTTTATTTCATTATCTTTGCATATCATTGAATGTTCATGAAGTACATATCACTAATTTGCTGCAAGACAGGCATAACTCAAAAAAAGTGATTTTCGAGTTAATGATGCACGATTGTTCGCTATAATAGACCTCATGTTGTTTAAAAATTCATATGAATGTAAGAGATATTCTGATTGAGACACTACAGAATTTCCTTTGTTCTATATAAAGTCTGTGTAAATTAAAAACTTAAGACGCATTTTCTGAAAAATCGTTTTTTAGTTATGCCTGTCTTGCAGCAAAGGAGCGATATGTACATATATACATATGTGAAAATATATATGCACTTTTCCTGCAGATATGATATTGAAGTGGTTGAGCAAACAATTAAATATACATTTGCAAATTTTGTGTTCACTTAAAATTTTCTTTTAATGTAATAAAATGAACTCATAGTATGTTTTATATATTCTTCCTCGATAAAGTTATAGTTTTAAGAATATTAAAGAAATAGAGGTTCACAGAAAAATCTTTACTGTATACTGTACAATTATATTTATTAACAAATATTCCACCCACTCATTCCAATTCATTCAATTTCGACGGCTAATATCGCTACGCGATTCTCTACAACACAATTAAATTGATTGAAAAATCAAGATCAATCGATAGATTTCTGTGGGCATAGTACAACATTAAAATGTATTTCTTCGTTATAACTTGTCGATACTGTCCGCCTAGGGGAACAGAACTGCATGCTATCAGATACGTCAACAGGTTTCGGATAGTGAAACGTCCAATAGAATCTAGTACATGGGAGTACATGCGAATTAAATCTTGGCGCAGAGTTTCGCAATTTCTCTTAATCAAATGTGCCGAATCCAAAGAGATATACCTGAGAGCAATAACCAGTATATAGATAAGACCAGATATGCCCTCACATAATATGGAATACATATGTTCAATAACGAATGAAAATCTATTACTATTGATGTATACAAAATAATTGCGCAATATAAAAATCCTACACCATAAAAACAAATAAGCAATGCATTCACTGACGAACATGCATATGTCATATCATTTTAAATTATCAGCATTACCATAACAGGACATATGACACAAAAAGGATTTGTAGATAATGCACATCGATGTGCAATTGCTGCATATTAAAATCTAATGAAACTATAATGGATATGAACTTTTGCAATAATTTTGCTTAAAAAAGAGATTTGTTCCATATGTGTATTATAGACGCGCAAGATGGCCGAGATAACACGTGTTCATAATTTTTATACAGTTGAACATTGGGAATCCTTTGAAATGTGTGGGACTTAGCATTTGTAAGTTGGACATTTCTCTAAAATGCCAATGTATCATACCTACATACATATGTATTTTCAATTACAATTATTTTTATATTGGATCATTACAAATGGAAATTCCAAAGAATTTTCCCACTAGGTGGTCAGCTTTATTGTCGTATCAAAAGTTATGAATGAATAGAAGACAACAAGTTGTAGATTTATGAATATAAAATGATTCTGGAGGGATTTCACAAAATACATGCGGGTTATCCTCAATGTTCGTATGACAACAACATCACATAGACATCCTCGAGCTTTTATGGCGATAATTGTTTCATTGTGGCACGTGACTGTGTGGGGGTTCCTTTTCTTTGTTTAAAACCTTTGGTTGTAGTTACATGCGTACACGCACACTTAACTTATATGAATACATAAACGTATACAAAGACGACCACTTTTATAGCAAGGCTAACCAAGTGAATGTTGTTTTTTGTAACTTTTGACGTCACATTTGGTGGTTAAATTAGTTGTAAAAAATGTACCGGATAGTAAAGGTTTCATATGTTGAAATTAAACATTGTTTATGTTGTGGACGCTTCTATATCTCATATCAACAGGCACGTAATGGAGATAATGAGCCATATAATTATGCATTCTGTTAGGTGGTATTTTTTGTAACGCTGTGGGCAGTTATTTCATATATATTTTTTTATTTTTTATTCTATAAAAAATACATATATATTCTATGTATTAAATTTTTTTCTTAAATTAACAAAAATAGAAACATTTGTACGAAAATATTATATCTACAGCTTTAACTTTTTGGCCGATAAGGCTTTGGCATCCGCTTTCTTTTTGCTTGTTTTCGTGGATCCGTTGTTGGTGGCTGATTGATCCTGTAATTTTGAGAAGAATGCCTTGGACGATTTTAAAGCCCCATGATCGTTGCTGGCAGTAACCTGAAATAGTAATAAGAATAAATTTTATTTAATTAAATTGAATTTTTTTAAAACTCTATTTTTTATTTGAAAATCAAAATGTAACAGAAATCATAATTTTAAAATGTTGGATGTTATACTTATTTTTGTTTTCTATTTTTAGACAATGTCTATAAAAAACAACGAATTCAAAATAGCATATTACAAATAGTCAACAAACCGAGAAACATAAATATAAGTCTTTCAATATGTTACCAAAAAGGAAAAAGCAGTTTCTAAATAATTTAATAATTAAACATTAACATTAAAGTAAAATAGATCATATTAATGAAAAATAGATCATATTATCTTGATTAATGGTACGAATTAAAATACTTGTTTTTTAAAAGGAAGGAGCTGGAAGGAACTATTTAGGATTTATAAAAATTGTGACCATTTTGTGTAAGTGGTACCGAAAGGGATGGGTCTATATTGACTATATTTAGTGTAAATACAAGAAGTGCAAAGTTTCGATAGCCTGCTCTATTTTTATGGAGCAGATGAGAAATGTTATGGACCGACAGACCCCTTTTCGATCGTGATCTATCTTCTGAATCAACGTTTTCAAAATGTTTACTCTGTGAACGGAAATACGAAGAGGAGTAAACGGGCCCATCTTCGGATTGATGGACCCGATAGGGCTTCGATACAATAGGAAGATCGAGAGGAAATTACGACACGCAAAATCTTAATATTATCGGATACTCCTTCTAAATGTTGTAACCAAATTGGTTTTTCATAATTTTCAAATTTTTTGTGAGAGATCCTAATCCCCAAATTTGGTCCATGTTTTGATTTTGAGCAAATCTATTTTAGAAATATTGGTTATAATCCCAATGAGCAGCATTTTTCATCTTATCGAAGCCTCAAATTATTATGTTTAGAGTATAGTTATGTGGTAGATAAAATTTCACTTTATACACAAATCGCAGAAGATAAAACTTCATAATGTGAAAAAAAATGCAATGTCTTACCTTTTCGACGTTTCTTTGCTTCGTCAATTTCTTCATTAATTTTGCACTTTCTTCCTTCTTCGATAATGGTATTCCCATTTTTTGTTTTTGTAAATCTTTAGCCTCCAAGGCATGATGGATGGCCTTTTGCTTAGATTTCTTCTTACGCAAAGCACGATTCTTATCTGTTTTGCTGCGTTCAGATTTTCCAACAAGCTCATGTTTCGGACCACGGAAGACTTCTTCAGGCGCCAACAGCTTTGCATCACTAACCGCCACTGGCGCTACTTCTTCCATGACAACAGCAGGAGTATTTGTAATAATTTTCGGTTCTGGTGCAACAGGTTTTGGTGTAAAATGGAAATTGGAAAGAGCATCAAGTTTAATAAACAAATCTCGCATCATGTTACGAATTTCTTTGTGCTCTTTGGGTTCCTCAGTTGCATTGTCACCCTGATTAGGATTAAGTTTTTCCAGTTCCTGCTGATATTCTTTCTCATAGATGTGTGCTAGCGATTCTTTTGACTTCTCCTGGTCAAGTACTAATTGTTTTCGATACTCTTGGGGTGTATGTATAGGTTTGACTGTTCGTTCAACGTCATCCCACGCTTTATCTTTGATACGCTGTTTTATTATATCTTCTAGACGACGAGTGGTTTCTTCAGTTATAATGGGAGCAGGTCTTACCGTTGATTCAAATTCCAAAACCTCTTCAAGCAAAGAATTCTGTGGACGATTTGTTGCTTGTACTTCACCTTTCAATTGCCAAGGTTTTTCACCTAAAACTTCTTCTTCGTAGTCTCGTATGCGTTGTTCTAGACGCTCTTGCCTTACTTCAAAAGATGATTTTGGACCCTCTTCCTTTGTCTCCTCGTCGGAATCCGAATCGTTTGAGTCAGAATCTACTGGTCCAAATGACATTTTTTCCTTATTGGATTTTCCGACGTCATCAAACTCATCACCGCTATCCTCTAGTTCGTTATCTTCGTCAGCCTCTTCTTCTTCTTCATTTTCATCTTCGTCCAACTCTTCCTCTGGATTTTCATCAAAATGATCTTTATTCTGTTTACTACTTTTGGATCAACAACAGAGGTACGTTTCAATTTTCTTTTGTTTTTCTTAGTGGCCTCGAATAAATCTTCCTCCTCGTCCTCCTCTTCTTCCTCTTCGCCACTTTCTTCTTCGCTAGCAGCGTCTTTCAATTCATTGTCCATATGATCTTCATCATCATGATCATCTGAATCTTCATTGTCCTCTTCTTCTTCTTCTTCGTCCATTTCGTCACCTTCACCATCTTCTTTTAGACGTATCTCCAATTTTTGTTCTCGCAAAGCCATTAAGGATGCAGTTGTGTTTATCATAGTATCTAAAACAGCGGCATTTCGTAGCTCCAGCTGTTGCCAAATTTGTTCTTCGTCCATATCATCTACCACTAATTCTGGCAAAATTTCCGGATTTCCATGTTGACTAATATCACTCTCTATTGTGATACCATACAACTGCTGCAGCATTTTTCTTATGTCCTTGCATTTTTTGGGCTGTGCTCTGTTTTATAAAATACAATTGAGAGTTTAATAAAAACATTTATCCAAATTTCAAACACGTGCATGTAACACCAACAAATACTTGCATGAGATATTGATCCGGTTCCGATGTTAGTTTCAAAAGATTTTGATTTATTTCTTGAAGTTTGTCTTCAATTTTAAGCTCTTGCTTCACTGCTGGCATGTTGTCCTTATATTTTTGGCCTTTCATAAATATTTTATTTACTATTTTTTTAGTTCAACAACTAGAAGAAACACGCGTTGCAAAGGTAAACAAATACTATTTGACGTTTAATTTATCAAAACTATCGATAGTAGGAAATCGATTTTTTGCTGTTGACTGTTGAACGATTGCACCAATCGCTCCGGTCTGTCCAATAACGATATGGTATTGGTGCACAATTGGTCTAGTAAAAATTGTTAAACATACATATAAACAGACAGAATCAAACACAATTGGCCTGTTCCCGTACTACAAGAATCCATTAGATTTTACCATTTTTTTCGATATCATAAAAGAAAATTCGTTATTGTTGTAAAAAGTAGTAGATTTTTGCAGTACGGGACCAGACCAAATATTAATTCTATTCGAATCGTTATGTAGGACGTATCAATAAAAGTTCCGTTCCAGAAACTACTCGAAAAAACAAAACGAAATGTTCGTTGATATAGCTGATGCATACACCTTATTAAATACACCTTGAGTAAATCTAGTAAAAGGGAATAATTTCAAAATCGCTCTCAGAGTACAAAATAATTCATATATATTTTTCAAGGAAGTCCGTACTACCCGATATATAAAATTGAGGTGATTATCCGGATCTTGCGAACAACTTCACTTTGAAACTACCCATCTAAATATAAAATTTAGATTTAGATTTAGATTCTAATGCAAGATATGCTACTGAATTACTTCTACATATAGCTTTCTAAACCTGAAGAAATAGAAGTGGGAAGCAAACATTCGCTGCAATTTAAGGTTTTCGCCTTCGCAACAAATCTCTTTTTTTTGCAGAAATTTTGTCGGCCTTGAGCTAAATTCTTGTCAAAAAAAAAAAAAAAAATTATAATAATTCCCACAAATTCCCAAATTCATGCTATAGCCCATGAACAAAATATATATTCTGTTGTAAGTGTTTGAAATGATCCGCGACAGGACTTTACATTTGGTTCTTTGGGAATCTAAGAAATGATCCCTTTATAAAGTTTTAAAATTTAAAAAATATTTCAAAAAGGTGTTTGACAATTAAATTCACAAACAAAGAAGAAAAATCTTGAAACCATATTATTGTCACTTGCACCTTCACACCAAACCAAGGTGTATGGTTTACTATTAAAAAAGAACTGGAACAGACCAAGAGTGAACGTATTACTACAATATTTTTCAAGGAAATATTAGTTGAGTGTGGCACTAAAAACCCGAAAAATGAATGAAAGGTTATGATTTCTTTCCAAAATCAGTAGGGAATACCATGAAATATTTGCTTCATCCATAATAATGTAATTACTTCCAGGCGGACGCATTAAAAACATCATTTCATTTTAATTAAATTTGAATATATTTCAATTTAATTTCAGTGTCGTACCTAATTTATTGCGCTCCGTACAAAAGTACTCACCTTCTCACCTTTATAGAGTTTGTTAGACGTCCGTATTACCCAAATTAGCAAGGACTATATTTGCATCTGTGCCAATTGAAAACGACAAAAATGGATGAAAACACGGCAGCCTTAATTTGCATTAACAGCCTTAAGGGGACCCCCCCCCCATTCTCGGGGTCAAAATTTTTTGATATTATTCGAATCTACACTGATTAAAGAATGTCTCTACAAAATTTCAAGTGAAAATCTCAAGAACTCTTGAAGATATAGCCGATTTATTGTGTCAGCATCAAGTGACGGCTGAAGGGCTTCTCAAACATTAAACGCGTTTTTCTCTAAACATTTTTTTTTTTGCGAATGGCGGGCACGATAACTCAAAAACTAATAATCCAATCGGTTCCAAATTCTGGAACGTTTCTCTGGGAATGTATAGCTCTCGTATGAACTAGGATAAAGCCAATCGGTAAATATTAACTTATTTTTTAACTTGGTTTTTTGTAAAAAATAGGCGATTTTCCAAAAATATTTTTTCAAAGGTCCACCATTTTGTTAATTTTAGATCGAAGTCAATAATCCTAGTTCATACGAGAGCCAGACATGTACTTTTTCTAACACCGTTGGCATTTTCGGATTCCGATGTTCCAGTGAGGAGTTATCATGCCCGCCATCAAAAATAAGGACTTTTCTTTAATTACAAAAAC